GCCTATCCAAATGAAAAATGAACAAAATTCAAATTTGATAGATGGTACCTTAAGGTACCAAGCATCATTAACCTATTTTTTCTTTATATTTTTTTCTTCTTTTATTCAATGTTGTTATATCTTCATCCAGCGTCTACAAGGCCGGAGAGGGTAGGAGACAAATGTTTCCAAAATATTTTGGCAATTTTGGGGGTAGGTATTGATTTTTTGGTATTGATATTGATTTTTTGGATGTAGGCATTAATTTTTTGGGGGTAGGTATGATTTTTGGAGGGTAATTTTTGATTTGAATTATAATCTTTTTAAATCCATTAATTGATACGATTATGATTGTTATCGTTGATTTTATGACAAATGTCAATTAAAGTAAAGATATTTTTCAATTAATAAATAATATAAACTTTCTTTGTGAATCATTTTCATTTACCATTTTATCAAGTTAATATTTACACATTTCCTATTTGGTACTTTTCTTAGAGGTTAATATATTTATATTATGTTTTATAATAAATTTATAGATTTTTTTAGCAGGATAAATTTTGGAGTTAATTTTTTTAGACATGCTTAAAAACATACACCAACAAGCAAAGAATAATAAAAAACATAATATGTAAAAAATAATTAATTATTTCATTCTAGATGCCAAGTAACAGAACCTTATTTAAAGTGAAATGTGATTATATTAATTGTAAAACTTCTAAAATAAGAAGTGACAAAATACATGAACATTATAAACATCCTCATGTAAAGCCAGCTGATAAGAAATTTACAAAGATAGCCATCTAAAGAGATAATAATAATTGGGAATCCTTAAATTGTGATATTCCATATAATATAACAAATGGACTTTTATCCAGTTGCAAAAAAAGACAATAACATTTTACTTCCGAAAAGTAATATTTTTAATTTATTATTGTATCTAAAGACAATAAATATATTGAAAATATATCTTAAATTTGTGAATTAATAGAAACTAATTTTTTATTAAAAATTTTACTAATATATTAAAATAAAATTAAAGTAGGCAGGGTATAGAGAAAATAAATTATATATTTTATTATTAAATATTGTTTTTTAACTGTTTATCACACTATTTTTGTATCTATATATACTTTATAAAGTTCAATTTAACAATATGTTTAATAGGTTAATTAATAATAATAATTTAAAACCAAAGTAATAAAAAAACTTATTAAGTTAATATAATGTAATAAAATAATAAAAGTAAGGTAATGTTAATTTCTAAGAATTTTAAATTTAATCTTTTCATCTTTAATTGAATTAAGATTTCAAAGTTCTTTTACTTATTTTTTGTATAAATTTTATCCTTAAAATATTAATTGGATTTAACTATTTTCAAAATTTTATATGTGTGAATTTCAGGTTAATGATGCTTACTACCAAGTGATTGTATGGAAATATTTTAAATACCAATCTAATTTGCTAAATACCGACCAAAATTTTTTAAAATGTAATAAGACCCTTATTATTTAATATATTAATACGGAATAACGTGGTCGAGTCCGGCCTTCTATATATCATCCCCCCAAGGATGGAACTACCAAGTTAGAATAAGAAAAAAAACATGATCATTCCTGGGATTCGAACCCGGGAGCATAGGATAAGTAAGCCAAGCTCTTGACTACTATACCATAGAGGCTTTCCAAAAATCACGATTTTTCAAATATATATTATAAATATATTTGGTAGTGCCTATCCAAATGAAAAATGAACAAAATTCAAATTTGATAGATGGTACCTTAAGGTACCAAGCATCATTAACCGTATATTGGTCTTTTTGGTTAATGATGCTTACTACCAAGTGAATGTATGGAAATATTTTAAATACCAATCTAATTTGCTAAATACCGACCAAAATTTATTAAAATGTAATAAGACCCTTATTATTTAATATATTAATACGGAATCACGTGGTCGAGTCCGGCCTTCTATATATCATCCCCCCAAGGATGGAACCACCAAGTTAGAATAAGAAAAAAAACATGACCATTCCTGGGATTCGAACCCGGGAGCATAGGATAAGTAAGCCAAGCTCTTGCCTACTAGGCCATAGAGGTTTTCCAAAAATCACGATTTTTCAAATATATATTATAAATATATTTGGTAGTGCCTATCCAAATGAAAAATGAACAAAATTCAAATTTGATAGATGGTACCTTAAGGTACCAAGCATCATTAACCGGTCTTTTTTATCAATTTTATATTAAATTTTTTATTAACAATATATCTACAACTATTTTAAATTTAATAATATATATTTAATATGATTTTATTAAATCAGACACTTTATCAATAAAAAAAAATAAATTAGAAGTAATATCATATAATGCTGTTAAGTTTACAATTTTTTTATTAAATATCACATATTTTTTATTTTTCTCCGTAACTATTTCCCCGTTATTGATTTGTATAACTTTAAGTTCTGTCAGGCGTTGGTTATCTTTTAAAACGCGAATTAATGAATATATGTCCGGATGAGCATTTTTTGCCATTCGCTTGAGGGAATGGTGATATCCTTCGAGATGATTATTATTGCGAGGACCTTGAATCTTATACCTAACACCAAACAATGTATTAAATGTTAAAAATATTATAAACTTTTATATGAATTGTGAGGAATTAATAAAAATGAAATAATTACCTGGTCCAAATTTGATGAGGAAAGATTGCATCAGAATTTATCCAGGTAGTATCCATATATATTAAGAAACTTAATATTAACGGGTCATTGGCTGCTAGATCTACACAAGAATCACGGACCACTTGAATGTCCTCTCTCTTGCATAAAGGTAATACACTCATCCTTCGAACAATAGTGTATACAGCAGTCTCTTCTTTATACTGCTTGACTACACCTAAATGCTGAACTTTACGCCAAATGGCCTGCGTAAAGTGGAAGAAGCAGCCTAAAAATAAATTATACAACTGTATATAATTTAAACTTTACCCTTTACTAAAATATTGGGAAATACAAATTGTAGAGCAGATATCGCTCCTGCTTCATAGTCGGTTTGTGCCATGTCTGGTGAAAACTGGATACCATTCAATGTCCCATATTCCACGATTATTTGAAATAGCTCAATATATGACTCCTTCCTTTTATCTGGAAGAAGTGCATATATGGTAGGGATCATCGTTTGATTATACATGATATGTATAGTATATAATTGGCTAAAAAACGTGGACATGTGTAAAAAGTCCCATCCATATAAATGAATTTTGTATAGGAAGATAAACTGACTAACATGACAGACCCAAATACAATAAGTTTGTTATTATTGTTTTTTATTAAGAAGCTATCACCACTGAATGTTGTTATCAATTCAGTGGTCAATACAATTGTGTCATTGCTAATGGGAATATTTGGCCTGGTTTGTTTTAAAATACGGTTAATCGTATTTTTAACGGAAATAAAAGGTGGTAAGGCTCCTGGATAATTGATTATATCTGGATCTTCAGAGCATTGTTGGTTTAATGCCTTTAGATAGATATTCATCCTTGTATCTAAAGGATTTTGTTGTACCGTTGCTTTTACTGTTTGCAAAGTTTTTAATTTGTGAAAAAGTATAGCATGATTTTGATGTTCATGCATTTTGGATATTGTGTATCCTTGAATATATATACACGTCACTTTACAATCAGCTTTTAGACAACGGTAGTTAATTGTATTCCTGTATGTACCGTTATAACGGTAAAGAAAATTTAAAAAAAAGAGCAATGATTTGCCCTTTTGGCTATCGATAAATGTTGGTTCCTCTAAAATATAAGAAATTTTTTAGATGTTTATATAGAAATTTACCAAAAATATGTATATTTTCATTAAAATCTATTAGAGATTCTGCAAATCCATAATTATCCATATTTTCTAAAAAATAATTGCCTATATATATAGTGATATATATTTTCATTAAGAATTATTACTTTCTATTTCTGAATTAAGAGGAGATGTATAGAAATCATTTGATATGTTGGGAGCATCTATATTTTATAGATTAAATTGATTTGTTATAAAAATGTTACTTTGAAAATCAGGAATATATGGGGAGATATATGAGCAAAGAGGGGATGTGTAAGCTGAATGACTTTGAGTATAACCTATTTTAAAATTTGTGTTTAGATAATGGTTATAGTACCTAAAATTATAATATTTATTTAAGATTTATAATTTTTAACTTGGATTTGAGAGGGTCAAGGATTCTCCATGAGATTGAGAAGATATTTGAGATACATCTATTTAATTTATAGTTAATTAATATGATTTATAATTTTTAACTTGGATTTGAGAGGGTCAAGGATTCTCCATGAGATTGAGAAGATATTTGAGATACATCTAAATGATTTTGAGTTTATTGTTTTATAATTATGTAATAAAATATTTTTACCTTGAAAATTTGATCTCAGTTGTTCTAAGATAATGTTTGATGATAAAGGTGAAACATCTAAAATATAATGATATATAATTACAATTAAGTTTTACTTTGAATTGGTTTACAAGTGTCTAATAAACTCAAAATCATATAGATGTAATCAAACATCTTCTCAATCTCATGGAGAATACTTGGCCCTCTCAAATCCAAGTTAAAAATTATATATAATATTAATTAACTATAAATTAAATAGATGTATCTCAAATATCTTCTCAATCTCATGGAGAATCCTTGACCCTCTCAAATCCAAGTTAAAAAATATAAATAATATTAATTAACTAAAAATTAAATAGATGTATCTCAAATATCTTCTCAATCTCATGGAGAATCCTTGACCCTCTCAAATCCAAGTTAAAAAATATAAATAATATTAATTAACTATAAATTAAATAGATGTATCTCAAATATCTTCTCAATCTCATGGATAATCCTTGACCCTCTCAAAATCCAAGTTAAAAATTATATATAATATTAATTAACTATAAATTAAATAGATGTATCTCAAATATCTTCTCAATCTCATGGAGAATACTTGGCCCTCTCAAATCCAAGTTAAAAATTATATATAATATTAATTAACTATAAATTAAATAGATGTATCTCAAATATCTTCTCAATCTCATGGAGAATCCTTGACCCTCTCAAATCCAAGTTAAAAAATATAAATAATATTAATTAACTATAAATTAAATAGATGTATCTCAAATATCTTCTCAATCTCATGGATAATCCTTGATCCTCTCAAATCCAAGTTAAAAATTATAAATAATATTAATTAACTATAAATTAAATAGATGTATCTCAAATATCTTCTCAATCTCATGGAGAATCCTTGACCCTCTCAAATCCAAGTTAAAAATTATAAATCATATTAATTAATTATAAATTAAATAGATGTATCTCAAATATTTTCTCAATCTCATGGAGAATCCTTGACCCTCTCAAATCCAAGTTAAAAATTATAAATCATATTAATTAATTATAAATTAAATAGATGTATCTCAAATATCTTCTCAATCTCATGGAGAATCCTTGACCCTCTCATATCCAAGTTAAAAATTATAAATCATATGAATTAACTATAAATTAAATAGATGTATCTCAAATATCTTCTTAATCTCATGGAGAATCCTTGACCCTCTCAAATCCAAGTTAAAAATTATAAATCATATTAAATAACTATAAATTAAATAGATGTATCTCAAATATTTAAAGGTGAAACATCTAAAATATAATAATATATAATTACAATTAAGTTTTACTTTGAATTGGTTTACAAGTAAAAAAATTTAAATGTAAATAAAATTTTCATATCTATAAATTATACATACTTTAATATCTAATTTCCTAAGCTTAAGTAAATTATTTATGTTTTCTGCTACGGTTTGAATCTTCATTTTTTAAATAAAACACTAGTAGACATCTTTGGGATTTTCACTGGTAACAAAATTGGGAACATCCCATTTTTTAGCGATTTTTCGTTTAGCGATTTAGAACCGATCCCTTTTATACTTATTTGGACCTTGAAAATATTTTTAGGAAGAGGTATGGTAATTAAATTTAAAAATGAATAATATAATTGACTAGCGATTTCGAACTCAGTTAATTACAATATTAAATTTGTTAATTTTCAATTAATAAATGATTATATTTATTTAATTAGGATATTTATTAAATTAGGATTATATAATAATTTAAAAAGTCAATTAAGCTTCAATTGTTAATTCTAAAATTATATTTAGTTTGTGATATTGATATTCTATTTTTAATACTGAATTTGATTGAAAAGCTAACATAGTGAAAATATAATTTATATGTATTAATCTAATATAATAATTAAAATAGTATTCATTTAATAAAAATTTAGATAGTCTTGTTAATTTTTAAAATAAAATTAAATCTATACATTATTTAATAGAATTATAAAAGAATCGCTCAGGGTATCACGTCAATTCGGCGCGGAAAATTCGGCGCAGAAAACTCGGCGCGGCGTCAATTCGGCGCAACGTCAATTCGGCGCAACGTCAATTCGGCGCAACGTCAATTCAGCGCAACGTCAATTCAGCGCAACGTCAATTCGGCGCAACGTCAATTCGGCGCGGCGTCAATTCGGCGAGTATCTAATACAGTTGCAATTTATTATAAATTTATTAGTATAAAAAAAAGGATGATTAAATAGAAATGATTTTGAATGTTGGTCATATTAATTATTTCTTCGTATTTTTTTTTACAAAAATCTCAATTTTATTTACTAAATGTGTAATATCAATAAAAAAAATTAACAACCAATATTTATACCGATTTCCTTGCTAGACGAATTTACCACATTATAAGGTAGGGGAGACTGGGGTTAGTTGAACCGATTTTTACAAAATTTAGCTCCTGATTTTTTTAGATAATATAAAAAATAATATATGATTAGATACCTCCTAAAACTATACTCTATAAAGGTACCTTATAAAAATTTTAAGAATATAATCATTTTTTTTAAATTTTACTTTTTGAAAAAGTAAAAATAATATCCAAAAAGCCCCAATAGCGGGGTGAAGCAAATTCAAGGGGCTTCCTAAATCATTGGTTTTTTTAGCCATAATAAATTGAAATGCATTTCTATTTATTAATAATGATCATGCGCGTACGCAGGAATTTGGTGTGGGGGGATTAAAATTTTTTTAAATAAAATCATTGTTATATAAAAATATAAAGCATAAATTTTTTTAGGACTAATAACAATTTCTAATACAGAATTTTAAATTAATGTGATATTATAAAAAATAAATATATAAACCGGCATATGGAAAACTATAAAATAAATGTGAATTAAAAAAATATTAAACGGATATAACCGGCGGCATATGAAAAACTATAATATAAATGTGAATTATAAATAAATAAATATAACCAGCATATAAATCAGAAATCACTATAAAATAAATGACCCAAAATAGAAATTTAAATTTAAGCCTTTAAAATTTATATATAAAGTATAAATTTAAATGTTGGAAATATAAATTATTACACAAGTTTCTTAGGAATAATTGTATTTTGTATGTAATAACTTAAAAAGTATTCATGAAAAAATATAGTTAAAATATTAATTCGCACATAAAATAATTAAGAAGCATATTATAAATTTATATGTAAAATCCAATCTTCATTGAGATTAGGTTTATTGTTCAATTATCTCATCTGTGCTTGGCCTCAAATGCCTACGAATATTCAAAAGGGCCAAACCATTCAATATATTGTCAGATGTTGTACTCCTTTAGGTATGTTTTTATTCTTCTTAAAGAAGGGAATGTTCTCTCATTAGTTGCAGTACTAATGTAAAGTGTTGCTAATATATATAATTTATTATACATTGGGAAAATAATCTTAAAGATGTTTGAAATGATGCAAAGCATCCATAGCATTTTTTGGGACTATATCAACCATAGTTAATCTTTTATATACTATAGTTGGCATTCAGCTAATAAGGCATCATAAGATACTTTAACATCTTCATGAAAAAATCTGATAAATATTTTATTTTTTTTCTAATACTATCTGAAAAAGGTTGGTAAGGCTTTTGTGGAAGTAATATCTGCAGACTGCTAAGTGCTGCCTGATGAATTAAAACCCGTTCTATTTGGGTTATAAATGTATCTAAGAGAGGGATAAAGACATTTATTTTATAATACTCTTCTACTGACCCTATATTAATGTTAGGACGATAAGCTTGCCTCGATGCAAGCCGAGGGAGCAAATGTTAATCTCATATAGCTCTGCTTTTGACTCAAAAATAACATATAAAATATGAAATTCTTCAATAACATTAGCCCTAATTTCCCTGAGTTCTAATAATATGCTCTCCGCTATTCTCATCATTTCAATCAAGTCTATGTTATGTTTTTAAAAATACATAATATATATTCTAATGAGAAAAAAAAGTAAGTATTGAAACCAATGATATGCTTGCTTCTGAGGATATATCTCCTTCAGGTGTGATTTTTCAGTAAGAGCATAATAATCAACTCTTCTAACTCTATAGAAGCTGTTTTGATGGCAAAGACTCCATCTCGTTGGACAAGCTTTTTGCAATGTCTTTCTCCTTGTTGGACAAGGAGTTTCAGAAATAATTCTGTTTACAGAATCTCCTAATGCTTGAAATTTTACAAGACCACGAAAATTACCTTCATTATAATTATTATTGAAATTCAAGCTTCCTGAATCCAATGACCATGTAATTACGGGCCCTGCAATCCATAATATAGTATAGCCTCAATAGTTAGCTTGATCTCTATTTTCTTTTGCTATTTTAATCCTATTTTTGTCAATATGTGATAAAATGGGAATCATATCCCCACAATTAATTTGAAGAAATAATGGTTTCACCGCGTTTGTGATAAATTTGTTTTATTGTCAAAGATTTATCCAGCATCTTTGTACTTGTTGACTTAACTAACAGGACTCATAACTTGCAATAAGCTCCATTGTCTCGGTAGAGAATTCTAGCCACAACCATCTAGTAAAATAGCTGTTTTGAAATTTTAACTTTCAATTAGCACATAAAGTTTGTGTGAAATTTGAGGGGTAGAATATAAATCTATTATTAAATAAAATATTAATCTTAGGTATCTTTATTACCTTTTTAAGAAGCTTATGTTTTACTTCTAGGCTAATTATGAAATGTTATAAAATTATTTGTACTTTTTTGCTTTTTTGTAAGATGACTAGGATTTTCATCATCATCAGTATGTTTAAAAAATTTCTTATGTCCATAATTATTATTTGACTAGAAAATAGACAAATATTACGCCAAGAAAAACTTGAAATCGAAATTAATTGATAAAATAACTTAGTAAATGAATGTGATAAATAAATGTAATTAAATATATTTAAAACGAAAGAGAATGGATTAAATATTATAAAATACAAAACAATAATATTTTTGAAAAATTTATCCGGCATCTGCATTTTTTGGCTTTGGGGGGGGGGATTTGTCCCCCTGCCCCCCTCCCCGCTGCGTACGCCAATGATAATGATACGTATAGAATAATTGTATTGTTTTATTGTTAAAAATATCATAATACTTATAAATTGAAGCAAATTATATATAAAAATTGAAACTTAATTTAGGTTAATTTAATAAACATTTTGGACATAAAGGAGATATTATGATTTCTTAGCATAAATCCTAAATACCAATCATAAACAGCCATAAAATTGCCTTTGTGCGTTAATTCATTTTTGATTATTTTATAATAGAAAAAATTAGTTAAACATAATATATATTTAAAATGATTAATAGAATTATTTTAAGGATTTTTATTAAATCTAAAAAATGAATCAGTCTTAATTTGAATTTTATTGGATCAACATTAGTGTTGTTAAACGTCCGATTTGGGTCGATTAAGATTTTAGCCATAATAACATGTAAGATTAGAGATAGAAGTCCAAACTTTTCTTACATTTAGCGCAAAATCTCGCTTACATAATATTGGCTACTAATCAAAATAGGGGAGACTGGGGTTAGGTACCGGGGCTTGGCAAACCACTTAATCTCATCTTAAAATTAAATACACGAGAAGGTTAAAATTTTATCATAATATAATTTTGACTAGTTTACGTCTATAGACAAAAAATCTTTTAAAATAATTATTAAAAATTTTATTTAAGAAATAAAATATTGATGAAGTTTTTATAATTTGGGAAAGTTTTATGAGTATTTATTATATCCAGAAATTTAAAGTTAGCAGGGCTTGCTAAACCATACACGTCAATTATGGCAGTTAATAATGAAAAAAATACAAAATGTTTATTAAATTAACCAAAATTAAGTTTCAATTTTTATATATAACTTGCCTTAATTTACCCGCTATTGGGGCTTGTTGGACAAAATTGTTCTTTTACAAAAAGTAAAATTAAAAAAAAAATGATTATATTCTTAAAATTTTTTATAAGGAACCTTTATAGAGTATAGTTTTAAGTATCTAATCATATATTTTTTTTATATTTACTAAAAAACCAGGAGCTATAGCCAATTTTATAAAAATCGGTCCGACTAACCCCAGTCTCCCCTACCTTATAATGTGGTAAATTTGTCCAGCAAGGAAATCGGTATAAATATTGATTGTTAATTTTTTTTTATTGATATTACACATTTAGTAAATAAAATTGAGATTTTTGTAAAAAAAATACGAAGAAATAATTAATATGACCAACATTCAAAATCATTTCTATTTAATCATCCTTTTTTTATACTAATAAATTTATAATAAATTGCAACTGTATTAGATACGCGCCGAATTGACGCCGCGCCGAATTAACGTTGCGCTGAATTGACGTTGCGCCGAATTGACGTTGCGCTGAATTGACGTTGCGCCGAATTGTCGCCGCGCCGAATTGACGTTGCGCTGAGTTGTCGCGTCGCCGAATTGACATTGCGCAATTCAAAAAAAAAAGATTATATTCTTAAAATTTTTATAAGGTACCTTTATAGAGTATAGTTTTAGGAGGTATCTAATCATATATTATTTTTTATATTATCTAAAAAAATCAGGAGCTAAATTTTGTAAAAATCGGTCCAACTAACCCCAGTCTCCCCTACCTTATAATGTGGTAAATTGGTCTAGCAAGGAAATCGGTATAAATATTGGTTGTTAATTTTTTTTTATTGATATTACACATTTAGTAAATAAAATTGAGATTTTTGTAAAAAAAAATACGAAGAAATAATTAATATGACCAACATTCAAAATCATTTCTATTTAATCATCCTTTTTTTTATACTAATAAATTTATAATAAATTGCAACTGTATTAGATACGCGCCGAATTGACGTTGTGCTGAATTGACGTTGCGCTGAATTGACGTTGCGCTGAATTGACGTTGCGCTGAATTAACGTTGCGCCGAATTGTTGCCGCACCAAATTGTCGCGGCGCCGAATTGACGTGGAACCATCGCTCAGGGGGCAACAAAAAAATTTATTTTGATTTCAAGAAGATATTAAAGAGCCATTAAAAAAAATTTCTACTTCAGGAGGCTATTCAAATTTTTAAGGGGATTTGGGCCCCTGCGCGCCCTCTCTTAGTGACGCTTGATGAGTATATATTAATTATTTATCTGAGAGTAGGTAAGAGAACTTAGAATACAATGACATTAGAATCTAATTAAAACAAAATATGTTATTTCATGTTTTATGCTCTCATAATTTGAGATTCTGTTTAAAAACAACGAAGTACTCTGTAAATAATTACAATGAATATCAGAGTTGTACATTTGCTCAAAATGATCTTTGAAGATCGTAAAATTTGAAGATCTTTAATTTTTTAAAAATTTTGTGTAACGATCTTCAAAGATCTACGATCTTCAAAGATCTTCATGATATTTATTTTTTTACCCCTTTATTAAAAGCCCAGATGTTTTTCAATTTTATTAATATAATATTTCTTTTATGTTTTATACCTCTCCTCCTGCCTTGATGAAAATTGAAAAACATCTGGGCTTTTAATAAAGGGGTAAAAAAATAAATATCATGAAGATTTTTAAAGATCGTTGATCGACAAAATTTTTAAAAAATAAAAAATCTTCAAATTTTACGATCTTCAAAGATCTTGCTCAAATTTTTGAGCTAGATCTCGCTCAAAAATCTTCAAAGAAGATCTTTTGTATAACTCTGTGAATATATCATACAAAAACATATGTTGGAAGATACATTTATCCCATTTTAAAATGCCCACGTTTTAAAGTAAATATTTTAAATATATGACAATTATAATCAAAATTGTCATTATCCCAATTTTTTATTGAGTAAATAAAAAATCTACGGTTTAAAATATAATTTTCAATATTAATCTTTATTTCGCTATGCAGACTATTGATTGAATTGTAAAATATATGTAAAGTTGCTCATTGTAAAATGATAGATTTTTTTAGTAGATATTAAATACTCAAAATGCTATGAATAAATGAAATGTCTTAGAAGATTAGTCTTATAAAATATATTTTAGATTTATCGTGTATATTTTAATATGAGAAGTATGTCAATCATTTAATTCTAACAAAAACTGCTAATTTACAAATACGCATGCAGATAAATATAATTTCAAATCATATAATATTTAATTTGTTTCTTATTATTGAATGGCTGTTTGGGATGAATTCGATGTTAAATAAAAAATTTGAATATAAACATAGTTTCTCAAGACCTATATTAATAGGCCCAGATAATAAAATGTTTTTATGGAATATAGGAGGAAGTAAATACATCATACTTATTGTCTTGTAATTCACCCCATAGATGCAATTATTTCCCAGGATGGTTTACGATTAGCACCTTCTTTAAATAGCCAAAAAGGTTAATTAATATCTCATGTATAGTTCATATAAAATTTGAAGGATGGGCATGGAATAAATTGCCATGGAATCATCAAGATTTTGAAGTAATAGCTAGCGTTAAAATAGCTGGACATGGCAAATTAGGAGCTGATGGATTGGTATTTTTATTTATGAAGATATAATATTTTAAAATTTAAGGCTATATGGTTTAATGCAACTAATCAAGGAGGTGAGGGATCAACATTTGGTAGTTTAGATTTGTGGAATGGACTAGGAATATTTTTGGATTCATATGATAATGATCATTTGGTAATTATAAGATTTTGTTGACAATTATTTAAACATAAAATAACATAATCTGTAATCATCTATTTTTGTTCTCTTAATATAAATATATTTTTTAGCCCTGCATAATATCTTTATTGGTTTGACCTCATCCTGGATATATTTTTTTTATTTTTAGGCCTGATCCCTTTCAAAATCAAAATTTTTAGGCCACTTAAGCGATAATATTTATTATAGGCCCAAGACCAATTCAGCTTAAAAAATTTTTTTTAATATACAGAAGTATAATGATACCAGTTTTTGAAATATTTTATTTTTTATATCAAGATTTATATGACCATCTAAACAGGTCAATAGTGCTTAAAAACCTCATTATATTTTGTTACCTTTATAGTTATTTTAATTACTTTACTTTTTTAAAAGTTCATTGACATATATTTAGCAATGATTACACTTGTTATAGCATTTGAGATATTTTATTTTTATTATTAGACTCTTTTATCCTCATTAATACATACAATGTGTACATTTAACCCACTATTTAATTTTTGTAAATTTTAGAAAATATTGATAATTTAATTTGTATTTTGACACATTCTCTAATTGCAAAACTTTTTACAAGTTCTTTTCAGAAATTCTTTTATATAAATTTCAGCATGCCTTGGATTCAAAATTGCAACTTGTTATAATCTTTATTCACTAAAACCCATTCAGTTGGACTTTTATAATTTTATGAATTAATTACATCAACTTTATAGAGGCTGATTGGATTCTATGAACAATTTGCATTAATTACTATATATATCCATGTTTGACTCACGCTATTTTTTGACATTTTATTTTGTACCAAATGCTATATGCCAGAACCTTAAATCTGAATTATTTATTTAAATTTGTAACTATTTGTGTAGATTTAATAATAATGGATGTTAGCCTAAAATTTTTGAGAATATCCCCATTATTTAAAAAAATTCCTTTAGCATTTTAAATTAGCATAAACAACTCATACCAAAATGATTAAATTAATTATTCATTATAATTATTTTACCTACAGTTTTATTCAATTGTGTGAACAAGATTTACAATAATAAATATAAAAATTTTATCAGTTCTATAATGAATTTAAAAATAGGCATAAATGAACTTTCATTCAAATGGAAATGGATTTTTTTTGAAAAAACTTATAATATCTAAGTGATAATCCTCGATGAATATATTGATATGTCTCATAGAAGTATAGCAAATACAGGGATATGTTTCATAGAGGGTTTTAGCAAATTTTATAAACTTAAAATTAGGGGTGTACCGATACCACTTTTTGGAGGCCGATCTGATCCGATATTTCAGATATTAAATTGATATCGGCCGATAACCGATCCGATATCATATCTAATTTTGTATTCTGCAAAGATACCGGTTTTAATTTTTAATATACTTTTTATTAGTACAACATCTATAATTTTACTATACCATAACATATGTCATTTAAATATATTATAATGGTCAGTTATAGTTTATATTCAATTCAATTGCTATTATTTATATAATAAGTAATAACATTAATCTATTTACATAATTAGTAATAAAAAAATATATTATGAAATTTGAAATTAATATTTAAAATTAATATATCGAAGATTTCTTTTTATATCAGAGATATGTCGGCGGTGATGGGGACTGTTAATATCACTAGCATCACTAAAAACAGATACTGAAGAGATTAATGAACACTTTTTTAAACAGAATGCGAAAAAAAATAACTATATTGCAGAATGTTTATTAACTAATTATTTCTATTAAAAAAATTAAACATAAAAATGTATTTCGATTTTATTTATAAAAATAAATGGTTTTTTAGATATAATTTTTTTTAAATTTTGTTAAAAGCGCCATTTTATATCGGATCGGAAAATTTATAATATTTGCCGATAACCGATATTTTAAAATGAGCGAAATATCGGCCCGATCCGATCCGATATAAAATATCGGTACATCCCTACTTAAAATAATTTATAGTGTGCATTAATTTTGAAAAATATAATTTTGCTGGCCTGCACCCTGTGAACAATTTTGCCAAGAATGAAAAAATCTATAAATATAAAGGTAGTTCACATGACAAAATTGTCTGATCTCCTTAGGGTAGATACCTTATTTATGCTGAAATACGATTCTGGTATAATCAACTCATTAAAAATGTTAAAAACGCGCTTATGAATGATTTAAATCTTATAAAAACCTAAAATCTCTTACAACTTTTTTAAAATTATACATCAATATGAATTATTATAACTAAATTTTAAAATTAGGAAATTTACAAAAAGAATTTTTAATATATTATGGTCATATGTAGAATGTCCACTTGGTCTTTTGGCCAGTCTGCCACTTCATGGGACCTTAAAATAATGTAAAAATAAACGGTTCCAATCGCGAAACACTTTTTCGCGAATGTCGTTTATCGCAAATGAATTTTATAGCGAAACTTTTATCGCGAATCCACATTAGCGAATATTTTTCCGCGAAAGTGAAACAAATATCGCAAATTTTTTATAGCGAAACTCTTATCGCAAAACCTTTAGAACGAAATTTTTATCGCGAATCAATAATCGCGAAAATTTTATAGCGAAGTCAATATCGCGAAAATTTTATAGCGAAGTCAATATCGCGAAAATTTTATAGCGAAATCAATATCGCGAAACATAAATCGCGAAGATAATTTAGCGAAAACTATTTCGCGAAATATAACGCGGCCTATTATTATTTTTTTATTTTTATTAAAAGAATTTATTTTATTTATATTTAAATTTAAATTTTATTTATCAACAAATAAACATATTATATGTTATATATTTTTTATTTATATTATTATATTATGAAATGAAAAATGGATTTATTTTATTTGATATTTTTTTAATAAAAAAAATGATATGCTACTATTGTAATATTATTTTTGTTACAATTAATTAGTGATTTTCACGCCCAAAATTTTAAGTAAAAAATATTTTTTGAAATTCAAAAAGATTTTTAAACATATTTTGATAAAAATTTTAAATCTTCTTTGAGGAATTCTTTTGTGAATTTTATAATAAATAAACAATCTTTTAGGTGAAATCTTTTATAGTTTTTTTTTATCATTTTTGTAATTATCTATGACAATTATCATAATCGGTATTTTTAAACATATTAGGTTTTTTTTACGATAAAATATGTATTTTTAACATGTTAAATTAAAATTTTAATTAAGATGCACCATATAAAAATGACAATTATCATAATCGTTATTTTTAAAGTTTTTTAAATTTTTTTGACGTAAATCGGTTAAAATAAGTATTGTTAATATGTATTAATAAAATTTCAGTGAAGATGTACCCTAGATAAGTGACAATTGTTTAATCCTTATTTTTAAAGTTTTTTGAATTTTTTTGATGCAAATGGGTAAAAATATAGTTTGTAAACTTGTTAAATTAAAATTTCATGAAGATGTACCACAGAAAAGTGACAATTGTAATAATCGTTATTTTTAAACTTTTTTGACGTATATAGGCCAAAATAAGTATTGATAACATGTTTAAATAAAACTTCAGTGAAGATGTACCCAAGATAAGTGACAATTGTCATAATCATTTTTAAAGTTTTTTGAATTTTTTTGACGCAAATGGGAAAAAAAAATTGCTAACATGTTTAAAAACTTCAGTGAAGATGTACCCTAGATAAGTGACAATTGTCATAGTCGTTATTTTTAAAGTTTTTTAAATTTTTTTAAAGTAAATGCGCTAAAATAGAAAATGCTAACATGTTAAAATAAAATATCAATGAAGATGTACCATAGATAAGTGACAATTGTCATAATCGTTGTTTTTGAAGTTTTTTGAAATTTTTTGATACAAAAGGGTAAAAATTTAGATTGTAAGAATGTCAAATTAAAATTTCATAAAGATGTACCATATGACAATTGTCATAATCGTTATTTTTAAAAGTTTTTAAATTTTTTTGAAGCAAATGGGCTAAAATATAAATTGCTAACATGTTAAAATAATATTTCAGTGAAGATGTACCCTAGATAAGTGACAATAGTCATAATCGTTATTTTTAAAGTTTTTGAATTGTTTGACGCAATTGGACAAAAATATAAATTGTTAACATGTTAAAATAAAATTTCAGTCCAAACAGAAAAACAAATCGATATTTTCATTCTCATAATCGTTGTTCCTTTTATCCTGCTTAAAATTTGATAAAAATATGCAAAGTGATTATTAAAGATAGCTGTAACCTATGTTAAATTCTAAACTTTTAAGATATGGATTCACAATCTTAGTCCTTTAATTAATAAATTTTAATTTTACATTATAAAAATGTATAACCTTGCATTCACAGTTAGCAATTTTTGTATACTCGTGGCAAAATAGTGCTGAGTCTGAATTCAGGGTACGATTTTTATAGAAAGAACTTAAAAACCATATGAATATTATTTAGTAATATGATACAATTAACATCCTATAAATTTAATGTTAAGATTTTATTATGGTTAAAATAGATTACAATCTATATTTTAACCCATTTACATCAAAAAACTTTAAAAATAACAATTATAAAATTGTCACTTTTCAATGGTATATATTCATGAAATTTTAATTTAGCATGTTTACAATCTATATTTTAAACCATTTACAACAAAAATATTCAAAAAAACCTTATTAACAACAATTATGACAATTGTAACTTATCTATGGTACATCTTCACTGAAATTTTATTTTAACATGTAAGTAATTTATATTTTTGCTCATTTGCGTCTAAAAAATTCAAATAATTTTAAAAATAACGATTATGACAATTGTCATCTTTCTATGGTGCATCCTCATGAAATTTTAATTTAACATGTTTACAATCTATATTTTTACCCATTTGCATCAAAAAAATTCAAAAAGGTTTAAAAATAACGATTATGACAATTGTCTAGGGTACATCTTCACTGAAATTTTATTTAAACATGTTTGCAATACTTATTTTAGCCCATTTACATCAAAAAAATTCAAAAAGTTATAAAATAACGATTATGACAATTGTCACTTTTCTATGGTACATCTTCATGAAATTTTAATTTAACATGTTTACATTCTATATTTTTACCCATTTGCGTCAAAAAAATTCAAAAAGGTTTAAAAATAACGATTATGACAATTGTCACTTATGACAATTGTCACTTTTCTATGGTACATCTTCATGAAATTTTAATTTAACATGTTTACATTCTATATTTTTACCCATTTACGTCAAAAAAATTCAAAAAGGTTTAAAAATAACGATTATGACAATTGTCACTTCTCTAGGGTACATCTTCACTGAAATTTTATTTTAACATGTTTGCAATACTTATTTTAGCCCATTTATGTCAAAAAAAGTTATAAAATAACGATTATGACAATTGTCACTTTTTTATGGTATATCTTCATGAAATTATAATTTAACATGTTTACAATCTATATTTTTACCCATTTGCGTTAAAAAAATACAAAAAGAACGATTTTGACAATTGTCACTTATCTAAGGTACATTTTCACTGAAATTTTATTTTAACATGTTAGCAATACTTATTTTAGCCCATTTACACCAAAAAAATTTAAAAAGTTATAAAATAACGATTATGACAATTGTCACTTTTCTATGGTACATCTTCATGAAATTTTAATTTAACATGTTTACATTCTATATTTTTACCCATTTGCTTTAAAAAAATACAAAAAACTTTAAAAATAACGATTTTGACAATTGTCACTTATCTAGGGTACATCTTCACTGACGTTTTATTTAAATATGTTATCAATACTTATTTTTGACCATTTACGTCAGAAAAAGTTTATAAATAATAATTATGATAATTGCCACTTATCTACGGTACATCTTCACTGAAGTTTTATTTAAACATGCTAGTAATATTTATTCTAACCCATTTTGATCAAAAAAATTCAAAAAACTTTAAAAATAACTATTATGACAATTGTCACTTTTCAATGGTACATCTTCATGAAATTTTAATTTAGCATGTTTACAATCTATACTTTTACCCATTTATAACGAAAGAATTCAAAATAAACAACGGTTATGACAATTGTAACTTATCTATGGTACATCTTCACTAAAATTTTATTTAAACATGTTACAATACTTATTTTAGCTCATTTACGTTAAAAAAATTCAAAAAAGTTATAAAATAACGATTATGACAATTGTCACTTTTCTATGGTACATCTTCATGATTAACATGTTTACAATCTATATTTTTACCCATTTACGTTAAAAAAGTTTAAAAATAATGATTATGATAATTGTCACTTATCTAGGGTACATCTTCACTGAAGTTTTATTTAAACATGCTAGCAATACTTATTTTAACGCATTTTGGTCAAAAAAATTCAAAAAACTTTAAAAATAACGATTATGACAATTGTCACTTTTCAATGGTAGATCTTCATGAAATTTTAATTTAGCATGTTTACAATCTAAATGATATTTTTACCCTTTTGAGTCAAAAACTTTCAAAAATCTTAAAAATAACGAATATGACAATTGTCACATTAAAATATTATCCTTAAAAAGATCATAAAATATAACATAAATAAGTTAAATATAAATATTTAAAAAAAAATTATTTAGCTACCTCTTTTAATAAAATAGATATTTTTACAAAAATGATAAAAAAAACTATAAAAGATTTCACCTAAAAATTGTATATTTGTAATAAATTTCACAAAAGAATTCCTTAAAAAAGATATATTTACAAAGAAGATTTAAAATTTTTATCATAATATGTTCAAAAATTTTTTTAAACTTCAAGAAATATTTTTTACTTAAAATCTCGGGCGTGAAAATCACTAATAAATTGTAACAAAAATAATATTACAATAGTAGTATATCTTTTTTTATTAAAAAACATCAAATAATAAATAATATGTTGTTTTCTTTTTAATAAATGCATTCGCAATATATTTATTGTTTCGCGGTAATGCGCTCGCGATAATGACTTCGCGCAAACATATTCGCCATAAAAAATTCGCTGTAAAGTTTTCGCGTAAAATGTTGCTAAAATGTATTCGCTTTAATAAATTCGCGGTTAAGGTTTCGCGGAAATAAATTTGCGACAATGGCTTCGCGAAATTGTCTTGGCTATAAATGTTTCGCGATTTTACCTTCGCTATAAAAACTTTTCGCGATAAACGACATTCGCGATAAAAGTTTCGCTGAATTGACCTGATACGAAAATAAACAATACGTCCGTTTTCTCAATTATCAAGATATGATAAATTCAAAAATATTATCGAGGATTATATTTTTCTTTATTACACTAGTAACATAATCTTATCAAAAATTCAAAAAAAAAACAATTGTTTCTATAAATGTTTGAATACAAAAAAGTTTGGAATTTTAAGTAAAATTTGATCAAACTTAAAAAGATCCTCTTTTAAAAAAGTCTTCTTTCTAAAAAAAATCCCTGAATATTTGTTATTTTGAAGAATTTCAAACTCAGCCCACTATTATTATATATAGCCAGTTCTCCCCTGCTTAGGTTCTCTTTAGAAAAAACTATTACGAATTTTAAAAAAAATGATTGGAAATTAATGACATTGCTAATCTAGATTGTTGATTCATTTATTAGAAGTAGTGTTGTTAAATGGCTCGTTTGAGCCGATTTTTAAAAACGACTAACTCAATACTTCATCCAGAAAAATATTACTCTAGCCTGAAAATTTTGCTCATAGAAGGAACAAAGGTCTAGACATATATTATCGAAATCTTGAGGCTTAGGCAATATTTTTCTTGCTAAAACAGCAAATTAACCATTTTTAAAAATTAGCTCAAAACTAGCCGTTTAACAACACTAATTAGAAGTGTCCATACATTGAAGTCAGCTGTAGTAAATGGCATTGGCTGTAGTAGACACTTGAAATGCAGCATCGTGCTTTTCAATGGTGGACTTTAATGTGTATATATTTTTTGATGCATTTTAATGGATGAATGATCAATCTAGGTTAGTATTAATTTTGAGCCAATTATAATATTTATGTTCCTACTTTCTATATTTTTACCTCATTTATTGATGAAAATAGATTGCACTATTTTTAAAAATTATATATACCTTATAACTTGAAAACTATATCATCTAGGGTGATAATCCTTACATTGGAGTAATGGTAAACAATGGTACACAAATTTTTGACCAATCTCAAGATGGAAAACACCAACTAAATGGTGGATGTGTGGCACATTTTAGAAATCAACCTTTGCCAACTTTTTTAAACATTTCGTATTATCAAAAAACGCTTGTAGTATCACACGGAATAGGAGCCAATTTAAAGAGCGTTTTGTTTATGGAATGCTTCAGAGGTGACGATATTGAATTGCCTTCACCAGGTTATTTTGGTCTTTCCGCAGCTACAGGGGGGTTAGCAGGTAAATCTTTTTATTGCCATTCTTTTCCTCTTAATTTATTATGCTATATATTTTTTCTCCACTTTGAGAATCATCGATGCAGCGAACTTAATATTTGTAGTTTGATAAGAGTAAATATTTACAAGGCGTGTTAAAATTTTTTAAGCAATGGGTGAGTGTATATTTCAAATATTTTTTGGGTAAAATAAGCAGAGCTCGCATATATATTTTTAGAAAATATTTTTTTATATTGAATATTTTATGAGTAAATATATTTAGTTATTTCTAGGGTACAAAAACATATTTTTTAGTATTTTTAATTTATAAATATTCATTTTTAAAAAAATAAAGGCATTAATATAAATTTAAAAAAGTATTAAATATAATATAAGATAAACAAAATATATAATCTGTTTTTTAAATTTACTTGAGTTATATTAAATAGTTGAGAGAGTTTAATACAAATTATATCTATTTTTGATAAGGGTAACGAAATAATTAAAATTACATAAATTATTTGCTATATTTTTATCTCAATATTGCAAATAATACAAATTAAAATAATTTTACTTATCTTCAAAACATTTCCCCATCAGACAGTATTAAATTGCTATTTCGAGTTTTATTTTGAAAAATTTATTAATGTTCATATCATTAAAAAATTTTTTATATCATTATAAATAACATTTATTTTATTTTAGATGACCATGATGTTTACATGTTTTCCGTATATTCTTTGACACTCCAAGTTTGTTTAATCATATATTACATTTTAATGTTGTTAAAAGTTACTTTTTGAAAAATAACTAGTTACAAGTTACCTCCTTAAAATATTATGATTAAAAAAGTAACTAGTTGTATTGCCAGTTACTTTATAAATTACTTTATAACTATCATATTTATTATATTTTTTTTATTAGGCTATGTCCAAAATCTTTTTGAAAGATATAAAAAGCTTTAAAACTTTCAAAAGTTTTAAAATAATTAAATCTTATGTAAATTAAAAAAAAATTTTTATAATTATATTTTGAACATCTTTTATATTAAAATAAAGCTTATTTCTTCTTTTTCGGTTTGTGAATCATATTTTATTATATTTTGAACTAGGGGTCTGCTAAAGGCAGGTTTCCGCCCGCCCGTCCATACTTCGGGAGGGCTTGTTCGGGTTTTCTAAAATATTTTCAACACTGGGCGGGTAACGGGCGGGTCAAAAATATTTTTAAAGTAATGGGCGGGTGAATTTTTAATATTTTTTAGGCAAAATGAGCTGAACAAACTTCAATTTATTAAAAATAATAATTTTATTTATAAATTTTGCATATTACATATGTTTAATTAAAAATGCATTAAAATAAATAAAGAGCCAAACAAGCCTTAAAATAATTTTTAAACATTAGGCTGGTGGGCAGGTTAAACAAAATTTATAGATGTAACTAGTTATATTTTTTGCAAAAATAGTTTATTAACAGCACTAACTACTACATTTGTTTTTAATTTTATAAGGGTTTGACAGTATAACTTTATAAATGCAATATAATCCTTTATTTGCCTATTTTATTTAAAGTATTACACAATTCTTTGCGTTAGTGGCCACCTCTAGATACATATGGCTATTTACAATTACCATAATGAATTGCCTATAAATTATATATAATAGAATTTTCCTAAATTTTTAATAAAGTCCGAGCATGAGCACTCTCAGATTTCTACAGCCCCACCCGATAAAATAGATGACGAGTTCAAAGAATTTTACGAAAAGTTGAACAAGCAGAAGGAAGAATACATCAAAGAACATCCCGATAGGGAGAGACAACCTTGGGAGTCTGAAGAAGACTGGGTACCATATCTTTATTGTTGATTTAAAATATTTCCCCATTAGAAATTAAGTGCTATATCTTTCCACAAATTTGATTTATTTAAGATCAAATATGTTCTACACTATAATAATTAATACACTGCAAAATTTAAAAATACTATATCTTTGAATATTTTTTTTGTATTATTAATCATGTGATACTATTTTTTAAACGGAAAGCACATTAACAATATCTAAATCAAATACATCTATAAATTTTATTAATTACAATAAGAACCTTTAGGGTAATTCCAAACCAAATCGATAACTTTTCGGCTCAACCTTTTTAATTTCGATAAAATTTTGTATGCTGATAGAATATCATTAGAAAGCATCGAATCCAAAATTTTAGCCTCCTAGTACTCATAGTTCCTGAGATATCAATGGTCAAAAGTGCCAAAAATGACCTTTTTCGAAAAATACGATTTTTTAAAATGGAGATAAGTTAAAAAAAATAATGATTTTAAAAATATAAGTTATATGTCATTTTGTAACTCTATTAAAGGCCTTTTATTAAATATTAAGGATTTTTTTGAAATAATATTGTTGCTGTTTTTATTTACGTTATAAATTTTAAACATGAAAACTCCAGGTGTTTCGCTTTCCAAATTTTTATGAATTTAATATTTTTTTATTCTCTAACCTTACATCTATTCATAAAAAAATTTAAACTTGAGACAGCCATGGGTTTTTTAGTTATTACTATTTAAAAAATAAAAAAATAAGTATTTTTTTCAAAAATAGATGGCGCTTCTTTATACAATAACGTGTTTTGTTAAGATTATTATTTTTTTAAACTTTTTTTCATTTTTAAACATAAATAATAAGATTTTCCAGCATTACTATCATGAAAAAATATTATATAGATCGTTTGATAGGCTTACTTATTATTATATTGATTACTTGTAAAAATTAGTTGTTTTTATAATAAATGATTAAATTTCCTAAAAAGATAGTTAAGATTCCGATATCTCCTACAAGAAAATATAATAATTAATTGTTGAAAGATAAAAGCAAGTTTTCATCCACCTGCCCTAATATTAATTAATTTTTATTTTACAAATATTTTGATATTAATTATTTTTCTTTTTAAAATTATTTATAATATATAAATATAAATGCGTTAAATCCTTTTAAAGAATCTAAACACGTTAATTATAAAAAGAACCCGCGTAAAGTCATGACGTGGATGACACAATATCCAAACATTGAGGCGGAACACTATATTTGTGATAAATGTCGTAAACGGTTATCACAAAAAAAATATTGAAAATGTAACTATTCTGATAGCTAATATGTAAATAATATCAACACAGCATCAACATCAATAGATATAATCAATATAACTTTAAACGAAATTGGAATATCTCATATTAAGAAAAAAATACTAACTGAAAATAATTATCCAAAAAAAAGGATAGCGAAAATATAAAAAGCTTATTTCAGATATAATAATTAACAATCCAGAATCGGGTACAAAAGATAATAATGATATTACTCAATAATATGAAATTACAATATCCTAATTTATCTAAAAATAAAAAAATATTAATTGCTGACCTTCTGCCTCCTAATTGGAGCGCAAATAAAATAAAAACGACTCTCCCAAAATCGTTTTAGAAGAAAAGGGGATTCTTTCAACTCCAAATTGAAGGCCTGCAAAAATATCTCAATCAAAAAACAGTTGATATTGTTAAAAAAATTTTTGCAGTGATGAAGTTAGTAGGATATTACCAGGAAAAAAAGATTGCATAATCTAGCAATGAAAAGGGGGAACGAGTGAACGCTCAAAAAAGGTTAGTTCTTAATAATTTGAAAGAATTATATAATCATTTTAAGGCGAGTAATTGTTTAACTAAACTCAACACTAAACTATATTCTAATTCGCAGACATTTATTGTGAAGAATATAGTATATCCACGTGAGGATCCTTTGATTGAGGGAGGATCTGTTAATCGATGAGATTAGAGGATATGTAACATGTGCTTATGAACACGATTGGTGGTTAGGATTTGTACAAGAAGTGAATGTAATTAGAGATGAAGTAAAAATTAATTTTCTTTACCCTAAAGGACCAGCAAATTCTTTTGTTTATCCAGCTGCACGAGATATCCTTTTCATACCAAAAAATAATATTTTAACAATAGTTAGCCTATCAACGGCTACTGGGCGTACATACAATTTATCGCAACACGAAGTTATCATGGCGTCAAAAAAACTAAATTTAATGAAAAACCGATAATAGGTAATATCTTTCATGAATTTTAATTTATCTATTATATCTACAAAATTTATAAAATTTTCGAAAATTAAAATTTTTTATAAGAAAAAAATGATTATAACCGCAGCTAAATAATCTCATTTCATGATATTAATGATATAAAATCTTGCTATATGTTTAAAAATAGAAAAAAGTTTAAAATTTTAACAAAACGCGTTATTTTATAAACGCCATCTATTTTTGAAAAATATTTATTTTATAATTTTTTAAATCCCAATCCTGTCCCAAGTTTAAATTTTTTTTATGAATAGATATAAGATTAGAGAATAAGAAAATATTAAATTCAAAAAAATTTGAAAAGCGAAACATCTGGAGTTTTTGTGTTTAAAATTTATAACGTAAATAAAAACCGTAACAATATTATTTCAAAAAAATCCTTAATATTTAATAAAAGGCCTTTAATAGAGTTACAAAATGACATAAAATTTTTAAAATCATTATATTTTAACTTATCTCCATTTTAAAAAATCGTATTTTCCGAAAAAGGTCATTTTTGGCACTTTTGACCATTGATATCTCAGGAACTATGAGTACTAGGAGGCTAAAATTTTGGATTCGATGCTTTCTAATGATATTCTCTCAGTATGCAAAATTTTATCGAAATTAAAAAGGTCGGGCCGAAAAGTTATCGATTTGGTATGGAATTACCCTTATGCATTAAATATTTATATATATATATGTGAAACCCATATTTGTAGTCATCGATCATTGTATCGTTATACTTAACAAAGCCATCAAGTCGACTAAAACTAGAGAAATTTATATTCGATGTATTATAATTAACCTTCACTTTAAAAAAATTTATATTTAGATGGATACCTTAGAAGGCAAAGAATTGAGACTCATATTGGAAGGACAAAATAGAATAGAACATCTTTTAAATTCGTTGACCTCCAATATTGATGTAAATAGCTTTTATTCGATTATGTAAAAAGTATATTAAAGTCTGATTTACCATTGACAGTATCATTTATTATTATTTAATGAAATATACATAAATAAAATTGTTAATATTTGTTTAAAATGTATATGGTTATAAGTATATTTAAGTAATGGCTAGAAATCGAATGATTCAGCTCAATCTATAGGCGTTTACCTAAGAAAATTAGCTAAGCATTGTGATGCGAGTTTATTTATTTAAACTTTCCTCAAAGCTGATTTTCAAAAAAAACCCGGGGTAGTTACGGCTGAAAACTATGTTTAGACCGTTTTTTAGCTGGAGCTAAGCTGGCAATTACCAACCTAGAGTTTTAAGGTTGTAAATCATTTTATAGCTAAATCATTTTAAAAAAAACATGAATTATTTTTATTTTATAAAATTTAAATAATTTTAGCACTTGTCAAATACAGCAGGACATAAAATCGAAGGCCAGGCAAATTATTTACCACATTTACAAGAATATTCGAAACAAATCAGCGATTTAAAGTTAAAATCATTTACATAAACATAAGTATGAAAGTTGAAAATATAAGAAATTTTTTATATTTGTGAAATACTATTTGAATTTAACAAAATGGTTAATTTTTTTTAACAAAATGGTTAATTTTTTTTAAAAAAAAGGTTAAGTCAATTGAAAAATTTATTTTTAGAATAATTTTTTCCTATTTTACATTTCATTACTTTTTGACATTATCCATTCATTAGATTTAATGATAGTCTACTTTCCAAATAGCAATCCTAGACTCTTTATACTAGTGTTTGCAACGGTCCCGTCCGGCCCGGTTCCTTTTTTCAGAAATGAGACCGGATCGTTAAGCTAAGTGAGACCATCGGTCCAGTCACGTCCGGTCCCATCTAAAAAATTTTTTTATTAAGCTACAAAATTTTTATTCTTCATTAAATTTATTAAAAATAAAGTGTTAAATTACCAATATTTTAAATATATCATCAAATTATTTTTATTATATTATACAATACAAATATCTAATATTTCAAAAGAATATTAAAATACAAATTTATTGAATATAATTAAATCAATTTTATTTACATATTTATTTAGTTTTTTTTTGTGTATATATAATGCGATAGATATTTGGTTATAAAATAAATTATATATAAATAAATATTTTTATTATCTTCTAAAAAATCAAAAATTATTCGATTTTTTATCCATGATTCAAGTGTCATTATAGATTGAACCATCTTTGGATCATTCTATTTCGTTTTTTTGTTATTTTACCATTTGTACATGCACATTAACTAAAAAGCAATTTATAGTATAGTAAACTTTTATCTTCTTTAATCGATCTTCAGTCGGACTGGACCACCGGACCGTGTTGTCGGACCGGACCGTCCCGTGGGACCCAAAAGTCTGATGAGACCGACTAAGATCGGACCATTGCAAGCAGTACTTTATACCTCTTATTTTTTTCTCTCTTTATACCATTTGTGCTCTTTATACAGTTTTCTATATTTGTTTTGTTTTAAATTTTTTACTTTTTTGTATATTTTATTATATTTTTTAAATAATTATCATTTATAGTTTTAATTAATTAAAAAAAATGTTAAACACTCCTATCCCCTTCCCTATTTCTACCATATTGCTTCTTAAACCCCCCCCCCTTCCCCGTAGTAGACGTGCACACCTTCACAAAATTTTAAACTGAGGCTATGTAAATGAAAACTTAAATTTTAAAAATTTGATCTCTTGATACGTTAATGGAAAAAATAAAAATATGAGAGGTTGGGGTAAATCGAAATGGTATATTGACACGATTTAATTGCTATTTATCACTTTATGTTTTATACTGGTCTGGGAGATCTTTCCTTAATTTATGACATTATTTTCAAAATTAGATTTTCTTTCGATGCTTTAAACAAACAAATGATAAACATAAAAAATGCACCACCATCTTCATACTCCGATAAAGAAATCAAGGAAGAAATTAACCACATGAAAGAGGCTTTGTACCGTTTGGTCAAAAAAACGGTTTATTTATTTAATTATAGTTTACTTTTCTGAATTTATTAATCTTGCAAAATCTTCATATCTGATCATTTAAATCGATATAATTAGATATTGAAATTAAATTTAGAGATAAGTATCATATTAGTTATCGCCATATATATTTTAGTAAATGGTAATTATACTTGTTTTATTTTATTTAGAGAGACTATTCTAAACCTGTTAATTGCTTGACACCAATTCATTTCGTTATTTTTGCGGTATTACAAATTTGTATTTTGACAGGATACATCATTTACAAGTTTCTACTAAAAAATTTTTTGAATATTTTCAATAATATACAATATAGTAAAACCTTTTTAAAGGCTTAGCTACAAATACGCTTAATTTATAGCCACTTTATATAAGTGGTACTTTATAAATTTTAAGTTAATAAGGAAAATCTGCATATCAATGAGTTGCTAAGTTTTGCTATTATAGTTAGCTTAAAATTTCCTATTTTATTTACTTAAATAAAGAAATAGAACGATAAAATTTTTTTGCTATTTATATCGTGAAAGTAATCAATTTTCAAACATATATCAAGATTTTAATTATAATTGTTTTGTTTTTTTAGATCTCACAATGATCAAAAATCGAAAAAATTGTTTTAAGTCTTACTATTTATACTATTCGAACAGTTAAGACAACTGAAATTAAATACTATGCGCCATAAAATTAAATTTCTTTCATTATTTAAGATAATAATCATCATAAGATCCATCATTTTGTTTGTATATCGCGCTAAATTAAATATTTTTATATTATGGAATATTTTTCCTTTTTATCTTCTCACTTTCTTTAAAATTTTATTTTTAATTGCATATTCATTAAAAATGTTTTTTTAACACTTTTTAATGGCTAATTCAAATATTATGTGAAAATATTAGATTTTTTTGTAACATACCAACTCCCCAATGCCTATGTATGATATATTTGTATTGTGATAATATTTTTAATTTTATCTAATTATTGGGTATATAATTTATTTTTGGGTCATCCTTTTTAAATAAATTAGTCTATTTTTTCTCTGATACTTATGTAACTTCCTATTCTTATTGCCAGTGTTCTATTAAATTTTTATCTAACACTCCTTCAATTTCCAAACCTTACGCTCAGTATACTTTAGTGATCCTCACGCCTTTAAAAATACGATCCCTTACAACAAAAAGGTGCTGTTCAATTCATCCTATCCTCCGGTATCATTTTTATATTTTTCACTATACACCTATCATCACATCTCCTCCAACAAATAATTCAATCCGTTTTTAGCACCACCCGACCCGATTTTTAAATCAAAGCTTTTCTGCTTCTTTCTCAAACAGGTTATTATAAACAACCATTTCCATAGCATCACCAAAATATAATATCCTCTCTCCTTCTGTATTTTTCATTCTGAAACTAAATCACCCGTGAGCTCCTTCATGCTCCTACTACTAACTCCCACATGTCCGTTCAAGTAATTCCCTTTTCACTAGTCTTGATGCTACTTCCAATAGACTATCCTAAGATGTATCTTTCTCTTCGATACTTCTGCCAACTTGGGGAGCATATGCAGAGATAGTCTTCTAACAAAGATCACGATAATCATTATCCAACTTTTTCATCTCTATTAGTTCACCCACATCGTTGCTTCTTTGCTAGAAAAATTTATACTTTTAATTTGTCTTGCCAATTGCCGCTCTTGCACCATTCCCTCCGTCATGGGATTCCACGTCGCAACTCTTCCCCCACTTAGACAGGTTTCTTTATATACTGCCAGCTAGTATATAGCTGCCTCTTTTTCACGAATTGTGGTTCCACCGTTCCTCGTCCTTCTTTTTATCATCATAGGTGGGTGAGCTTTACGGCTTTAACCCGCTCATATTTAAGTTTAACATGAGAGGCTTTGTAGCGGTTTTTTTACAATCAGATGCCCTTTCTGACTTCAACCTCTTTAAATAGCTTTTACATCCGCCGAGAAGACGATAGATTTTATATACTTTAAAAAATTCTTTTAGTTCCAATTTATATAGGTGTAATGAATTAAATTTTATATTTTGATCGATTATTCATATTCGTTTTTGAATAGGCCTACTAGAAATATAATGAAAAAATTAATGTTTTGTTGGATGAACTGAGATATAATAAAAATAACTTTCATTTATATTAATAATTTTGAAGATAATTTATAGGTTGAATACTGAAGAATATAATATCAGTACACATATATATAAATGTATAAGTAAATAATATTTTATTGTACAAATAAATTTTTAATCCCTTTTATATATTAAAAAAATATCTTCCATCTGAATATAATAGCCTAAATCAACATATTTACATCAGAATATATAATAGAATCATTCGAAATGTGCCCAGCTTCATCTATGATTGTAGTAGATGTATCGGAATCTTTTAATAATCTTGAAATATTTCATAAAAATCAATTTTATTTAATATAATGTAATATTTAGGGACCGTTAGATGGGCCAAACAAATAGTACAAAATATATTAACAGGCCAGACCAAAGTTTTAGATTTTTAAAGATGAATTAGTTATGTCGTTTTCTTTCAAGAATTATATTATTAAGGTCCAGGCAACTTGTAAAATTATTATTCGAAGAAAAATAATTTAGGGGCATTGCAAACAAATTATAGATAATATTTTAATGGTCCGGCCTGCACCTACCGTCAATAATTTACTACTTTTAAGGTTAACAGCCATTAATTATAAACTAAATCATAGTTGTTAGTCCAACTTTTTAAGCAACTACAGTTTGGCTTGAAAACTTGTCATATTTTTAACCGAGGGCGGGTTTGAATTAACCAAACTATACCATATAATTTAGAAAATTTATCTTAAAATTTTTAAGCTGGATTTACATTTTATTTTCTAAATTTAATAAAGTTCCGAATAGGAATTCTTTATAAATTTTATATTTCAAAAGCTTTAAATAAGGTTCTGTTTATTTCACACAACCCTTTATTTCAAATAGCAGTTTGATTTATTAACTCCTAGATCCGATGTTCGGTTAAATATTTATATACTAAATAAGATAAAAGTAAAAATAAAAATGATATTTTATTACTTGAAATTAGCATGAAAATTATACCCTCTGAACCAGAATTACCGCCCAACATTTACATTTTTTAGTAGATAATTTTCAAATATAAAGAAAATAGAATATTTTTTATGAATAATATAACAAAATCCTGGTATATATTTGTTGCTAAAATAGACTAAGCTTGCTTTTAAAAAGTTCATTAATTTGTTAAATATTTTTTATCCATTAGAAATTTTATCTTGCATAACTTAAATTATGTGGTCATCTCGGCCAGGCCAATAGGAAAATTTAAATTAAATCGATCCAGTCCGCAGTTTAAAAAAAAATAATTAACATACATTTGAAACATCTGTTCAAATGCTACATACTTTGCTGTATTTCGAGTTGTCTATGATTTCGAATATATTCTGGTCAGGAAAATGATTCTAAAAGTTGAATAACACCTGAACCCACCTAATTTAGAGATACCACGCTAATAAATTATATATTATTTACATTATATGAGTTATTTGTGATTTATGACCATAATATTTATGGTCAAAATAACTTTAAAAAATGCAAGATAAATTTATCATTAAAGTGGGAATATAATGCTAACTAGATTTCAGAGGAGGAACCATGAAAATTATATTTATGGTAAATAGTCAATTTTGATTGCTTATACTTAGACCCTGAGCAAAAGAGGATATATAACTTTATTCATAAAATGGTTGGAATGGGTAAAATCCAGTGAGATAAGATATTAAAAGATCACATTAAAATATGGATATTACTACATTTGCAATTAATCTACTTGGTTACTCAATTATATGTTACAATATAGTTTTTGTAATATGTAGTATTCAACTTTTTTTGCAATACGTTTTTAATTGAATATTTAGAAAGAAAATTTTTTCTTTGATATTTAGCTAATCTTCTACATAGTCTTATTTGCATGATACAAATACCATTCTATTACTTTATTTTTGAAATTTTATTTGCAATTATAAATATAATTTAAAATTTTCTTAAAGTGTATATTATGCATATACTATCTATCTTATATAGTGTCATTAAACGGCTCGATTTGAGCCGATTTTTAAAAATGGTTAGCCCAATACTTTACCCAAAATAATATTGCCTCTTCCAAATTTTCTTTAATAGATGTTCAAACCGTTATGCCACTTATGAGCGAAATCTTAAGGCTTGCATAATATTTTTCCTAATAAAATATTGAATTAGCTGTTTTTAAAAATCGGCTCAAAATGAGCCGTTTACAACACTATTCTTATAGAAGTAATAATCATTTGGGATTTCACTTTCAGTGGTACTGTGTAATTCATTTAGTTGGGGGTAAAATTAACTTGCGAATAGGTAGGGGATAAGAACTCGAGGTTAGGGTAAAATTTTTTAGGTAGGTATATTTTTCAGGAGGATAAAATTGTCAGTGGCTTGGGGAGGGGTAGTGTAAAAGTCACCACTCTGAGCTAATGATATTAATAGTCTAGATTGAATATTTATTAATCAAAATATTTAAAGTGTAAATACATAAAAATTAGCTCTAGACGCCACTGGGTCTGCAGGTTGGCTATTATATATCTTTTTGTTTCAAAAAATTCAATTCTATTTTTTCATAATTAAATTTTTTAAGAATTTAAATTCTTTAAACGGTATTGTAAGACAAATAATATCATTTAATCGTGCAGACCACAAAATAGTATCTACAGTTAATTATTATGTGTACAAAAATTTAAAGGAATCGTCAATCTTACACAATTGGTCTGGAAATATGGTACACTTTTGCGAAGAACGAGTAAAAAATTATTAGAATCATTTACATCACCTAGAAAATTTGAAATTGATATTAATAGATGCTAGGGAAATAAACAGCTCTATTTAAATAAAAAATTTAAAAAATGGACGAAATTTCATCTTTATCCCCAATTTTCTAAGAGATATAAGCGAGATTCACAATTTTTCGCTGTTTCATTCTTCTCTTTATCATACTCTTACTGAGAAGATGCATGTCAATTTTAGATTTATTATTTTTTTGTTGGAATTTGTTATTTATAATAGATGGTGTTTAATTTATTTGCATAAAGACTAGTAATGGAAAATATTTTTTAAAAACTTTAAAAAATTAACGATGAAAACTGTTTTGCGGTATTAAATCTTTTTTAAAAGAAATTAAATATACCATGGATATGATTATCCTATTAATATAATGTTTAACTCATTTATATTGCCTTTCAAAGGACAAAAAATAATTGGTTAACTTAAAGATTTCTAGGACGCAAAATCAAAACGATAAACACAGAAAAATTGTACACTGTATAATTTATAAAAGCTATGATATGTTCGATTCAATTTTTTCCAAATAATTTTTTTTATCAATTGAGTTAATATTTCAATATGCTAAAGCCATTTCCAGATAGAACGTTTCTTCAAACCTGTTTCTGAGGAATGATTTTAGCAATTTTTTTTATTATTTCCAAACAAATTTTGTTTTTTATAAAGGATTAAATGGCCTGAAACCGAAACACCGTCAACTCTTTTTTTATATATTATGTTACAAAAAAATGGATTCAACAAATCATTTTGTTTAAGAAATAAGTAAATAAAAAATTGTTGTAAACATGTCTCAAAAACAGCTATGAAAGAACGTTCTACTTAGAAATGACCTAAACAACACTTACTTTTTTTTACAAAGATGATTACAATTTTCTTCATCGTCAAAATTATTTTTGTTACCACCACATCCAGTAAATATAAAGGGTTTACATATATCCTCTTGGTCTGTATAATAGTATTTGGTGATGTTACCTGTACATTGTCCAATATCATAAGGTAAATTGCATATATTCACTAATGTAAACAAGAAAAAATGATAATTTATAAAGAATTGTGCTATTATCAGTAGAAATTATTTAATTCTTTAAATAAATTGATTTACTTTTCGATAAAATGGTTGTATAATTAGAAGGCAAAGAAAAAATTGTCAATGTGGTAGCCGTAACTGTTTCATTTGGGATACAGGCTCTTTCACAATCTCCCATACTTTCAAAATTGTTCCCATTTCCTTTACAACCTCCATAAGTAAAAAATCGGCATCGTTCTTGTTCTGGGTCGTAATGATATCGGGGAAAGAAAGCTTTGCAAGGGCCCTTTAGTTTTGGAAGATAACATTCCCCTTACATGAAAATAAACATTTATTAAAAGATTCTTATTATTTTTTCCTGATGATTATTTATTTATTGTGTGAAATTAGGGCACATAATTATACGACTTTTATTTTACAATATATTTAAATGATGTATATCATTAAATTAAAATTTTAAACAGTTATTAGGGGGGGGGGGGGGGTATGAATGGTTGGGAAACTTTTCGTTCAAACCTGAATAAATTTAATAATATTCGACTAATCTGAATAAATAAACATCTTCTAAATCCTAAAAGTATAGGCTATTTGAAATAGAAAATATATATTTTATAAAAACTACTTTTTTGGAAAATTATATCTAAAAAACCTTTTTTAACCCAACCATACCATACTCTGGGTACGTTGTAATACCTATATGTAATAGTTGGTCCAGACATAAAATAGAAGTCTAAATATAAAATTAATTTTTTTTGACATTATTATAATACTGGCTTTAAAGTATATTTATTTATAAGTATATTAAATTCAATTTAGAGATTTTAAGAAATTATAGAAATTTTTGAGAAAAAAAATTTAATTAAAACATAATTTAAAGTTATATTAAAAATTAATATTTTAGATTGATAAATATTTAATGAATACGATTTGCATTTGTTTTAACCAAAATAAAAATTATTTATGCAATATTGTACTCTTTTAATCATGTTTAAGTTATGATATTTAACATATGTATAATATTTTATTACAAGAAGGTGTATCTTGAAAAACGCCTAGAGAAGAGGGGATAGATTGGATTTAGAGATCAAACTTCTAAATTCGGGATGTGGTTTGAAAGCTGCGGTTTATTTTTTGAGAAGTTGTTATTTTATTAGAAATATTATTAAGGCAGGAAAGCAGTGTTGTTAAAATAGCGCGCTACTTTTTTCAGTAGTGGTAGCTATAGCGCGCTACTTTTTTCAGTAGCGGTAGCTATAGCGCGCTACTTTTTTCAGTACCGGTAGCTATAGCGCGCTACTAATTTAGGAAGTAGCGAAGTAGCGCGCTACTTCGCTACTTTCAATTTTACATAATAAATACATCTAAATATTATTAAAAAATATTTTTTATAAAATCTAAAATTATAATCCTTTTATTTAATTTAATTTTGAAATTTAAATTTATATTTAAAAATATTGTAAAATTTTAATTGTTTTAATTAATTATATTTTTATAAATTATTTTGATATATTATTATTTAATATAATAACAAAAGTATAAAAATTAAATGGAAACAAAAATGAAAAAGGGACGTAAGCGTTGTCTATGATAGCTCTTTGGCTAGAAGGCTACCATAGAAACTGATATAATTTGCTTTGTGAATCGCTATGGATAATCGTTGACGAAGAAAAAAACCCTCTCGGGGTTCTTCTGAGAGTTTGCTGATTTGTGATCCTAATTTTTTGAAAAATGCTAAGGCGAGTTTGCCGAAGGTGCCAAGAGTGGTTGATATGATTGGGATGAAGCAATGATCGTTTATTATTTCTGTGTATTTAGAAATTTTAAGTTGTTCCTTCTGGTCAAGGATGTTGATGGCGTGGTTGGATGGGGCCAAGGGGTCAATACAGGAATAGTCCCATACCAAAAGTTGGCCTCTCCTAAATGGGATTTGAGAGATCCCATCATACATTATTGTTATATATTAGATATAAACAGTTGTTAAATAGCAATCTGTATTTAATTTATATTTCGCGTATTCAAAATTATATATTTTTGAAATTCCGTTATTGGTATGTCCTTGCTTTTATCTTATTTTATATTTCATTTTACATTTTATATTAAGCATTATAAATCTTGTTATGTGTGAGATTGTTGAAGATATTGTAATTTCTTTGGAAAATGAGCAAAATATAGATGATCCTTTCCCAAAATTCAAGAAATACTTTAACCTTGAAGAAAAAATTAATACTGGATATCGGTTTCGGTGCAAGATGTGCCGCAAAATTATCTCTTCAAATCATACGAACATTTAAAGGTAATATATTAAACAAATTTAATATCAATGTTTAGGCTAATCTTTAATTTTTAAAATAAATTAAAATCAAAAACCAATCATTTTTTTTTATATATTCATAAATTTTATCTAAATTATTTAAAACATTTTAAAATAGTTATTTCAATCATTTTTATGTACTTATCTCCTACATAATTTTTATTCCAAGTATTTTATAATTTTAGACTGTGCACACTTCAAATTATAAAGAGATTGAAAAATATCTCAAAAGTTTTGGGGTAATGGAAGAAGATAAACCCACTTCCAAATCAAATTTAATACAAACAAAATTAACCAATTTGGATTCATCAACACCTGGTGTATCCCAAAAATTGGCTGACAAAGTCATTATGAACTTTATAATAAATACAGTTCAACCATTATCCTTGGTGGATAATGATTCTTTTATAAAGATGATAAACACTTTTTCTCCACTGACCAAGATATTTTGCCGGCAGACATTGATGGCAAGAATTTTGGAGAGCTTTAAGGAAATGAAAGAATATTTGATATTAAATCTATCAGATGTCTCCTACGTCTGTACAACGGCAGATTGCTGGACTCACAATAGAAGGTAAAAATGTTTATTTTCTTATTTATAATATGTCATATTTTTAGAGCTTATTTAGGAGTAACTGCACATTAGATTGATCCTAAAAATCTAAAACAAAAATCTGTAGCGTTAGCTCTAAAGAGAATAATTGGCTGTCAGACTTATGACATTCTAGCCAATATTATTGCAGAAATCCATAGGTCTTACAAAATTCAAAACAAGGTTTGTAAGATGATAACGGATAATGATAAATTATATTATATTTAACCATTTTAATTTTTTAGGTTATGCAATATGTTGCTGCTTCACTTAAAATCTTAGAAGGGCAAGATAATATGAGCATGGGATATTATGTGCCCACACTGAGTATATTAATTACCAATCAAAAGAATCAATAATCTAAAATTTTGTCAACCACTGGTAGAGTCTGTGCTAAAAGGCATTGAGAAAAGGTCAAAACTTTATTTTTATTTACTATTATTCAATTATATAAAATGAATGATTTATTGCTTGATTAGCCATAATTTAAATTGGCTTAATTTAAAACACAATCTATAATATTAATATATAGTATTATTAATTAATATAAAATTCAAAATTAATATATTATTAATTACCTTGTGTATAATAATTATATTTTTAAAATTTTTATTTACCATAATTTATTGCTATTTTAATATTTTATTTATAAATGAATCTAAATCTCAGATAAATTTAAATTTTAAAAATTAAAATGGTATTCTTCTTTTTTTTATAATAAATACAGTCACTTTATATAAATTAGATTTCCAGATCTGTATGATGATGATAATGTAATAGCTGCTATCGTTCATCCTAGTTTCAAGTTAAATTGGCCATACATTATTTGACTGAATCTAAATGGCAACTTGATAGGCTGATGGTAACGTTAAAAAATGGCATGCCTAACCACGATACTATAGCAAGATCGAAACCGCAGCCTTCCAAAGACGATTTTTTTGAAATAAATAATAATAATAATATTGAACCTATAGATGCTTTTTTTAAATCTAAAAATACTAATTTAAATATTTTTGATGATTTTTTTCATATAAATTTTGTTTATTAAATTTAATACTGCGTTGCCCTCAAGTGCTAGTGCTGAACGATTATTTAGTATGGTAAAGCTTATACTTTCTGATCGTCGCTCTAGACTTGGGGATGACAGTACCGAAATGTTATTATTATTAAAGTGCAATAATAAATAAAATATATATATATATGTAACAAATTATTGTCATGTTTTTATATCAATATTTTATTTATGGAAATAAAGTTACGTAAAAAAAAATATTTAAAAAAAAAATCAAAGTAGCGTAAAAAGTAGCTAATAGCGCGCTACTCATTTGAAAACGATAGCGGTAGCGATAGCGCGCTACTTTTAAAAGTAGCGTTTAACAACACTGCAGGAAAGGACATGTATTTTATTATTTTAAAAGTAAATAAACTTTATCATTTAGTTTGTACTCTCTACCATTGGCGTACGCAGCGGGGGGGGGGCAGAGAGGCAAATCCCCCCCCCCCCCCCCCCCCCCCAAGCCAAAAAATACAGATGCCGGATATATTTTTCAAAAATATTATTGTTTATATTAATTTATATTTGTTAATATTTATTCGTATCTCATATTAAATATATATTTAATTACATTTATTATCACATTTATCTACTAAGTTATTTTATCAATTAATTTCGATTTCAAGTTTTCCGGCGTAATATTTACTTATTATTTTCAAATTTTTAGTGGCGTAATATTTATCTACCATTTTCAAATTTCTATCAAATAATTATTATTTCTGAAACTTCTTGTCCTACAGGGAAAAAGAAATAGCAACCTTGTCCAACGAGATAGAGTCTCTGCCATCAAGCAGTGACAGCTTTTAAGGAGTTAGAAGAGCCAATTATTTGATATTACTAAAATATCACAATGGCCTGAAAGAAATATTTCCTCAGAAGCAAGAAAATTATTGGATTCAATGTTTATTCCAAATTTTATTTCTCATTAGAATGTATTATATAATTATACAACTATTTTAAGTTTTACTTTTCAAAAACATGACATTTCCTTTAAAAATGACAATATTAAGACTACAATCAGAACAATTATGTTTATTTGATTTTAAGGCTATGGATTAGATGCCGATTAGATTTAGAAAAATTTACAGTCCTTTTTATATGAAATATTAGAAAACATGAAAATTTGAGAGCAACAATATTTGCAAAATAGTGTTGTATGCTTCTATATATTTAGACCCTCGATATCAAGTTTAATTGAGTATTAAGCAAAAACGCTAAACACCATCTTAAGGATTTATGGCATAAGCAAATCCATTATTTACAATATATTGGAGGCTACGACAATACCTATTGGTTGTAGTGATAATAATAATGATAGAAACATTGATGATCTTGAAATTTTACTTTAAGATAGAGAAAAAAAAGTCAAATTATCATCAGATAGAAATGAGGATCAAAAAATGCCTATTGCATCTTTAATAGTAAAGTTCTCAGAAGTTAAGAGAATAAATAGGAATATAAATATTTTAAAATTTTGGGAAGAAAATTCTTCAATATATCCAGCATTATATATATCTTAACTAGAATCTTCATGACTGTACCGGCGACACAAGTACAATAATTTTATAAAGATAACCATCTATTTTAGGCATGGGTAGAACGTGAATTTTCATCTTTGAATTATATATTGTCAACTTTACGTGGAAATCTCAAGGATGATATTTGAGGATATTATGATTGTGCGAGAGTAAAACATTTAAAATATAAATTATTTCATTTTAAAATATTTCATTTGTAAATTATGTATATGTATATATTGAAGTATAATAATAAATAAATAAAAAAAATCTTATTTCGAGTCATTATTTTGTTCCCTGAACCCGAACCCTGGACCCGGGTCCTTTCAATTTTTATTCATGTACCCGAACCCGGACCCTTATTTTGTCGAAGGGTTCACATCCCTGCCTTAAAGTTTCCATAATTTTATGAATTATTATGTTACCTTCATTTTTGAAGGACACTAGATTTAAAAAGGCAATAATTAGGATTAAAGAATATTTATTATATTTAATAATTTTAAAAAAAATTCTCGTAATTAAAATATCAAATTATTTGTTTTGCCAAAATAATTACATTCGATGATAGTTATTGTACCGCAGAATAATTATTAGCTCGAAACAAGTTTTTAAGTTTTAGTTTTGATTAATAATATATAGGTTTCTATTTCTCTTTAGCTAACAACCATTAATACACAATATTTTTCTAATGATGTGGAAAATTTCAAGGTCCCACACCATTTATATTGTTTAAAGCTCCGATATATTGAATATTCATAAGAGTGAACAAAAAAATTAAATCCAAAAAAGTTGGCTAAAACGATATTCTACTTGTATATCGGTGTTATAGTGTTTAATTTAAAAGTATACTTCTATAATCCTCTCTAAATCTTTTGATTGCTAAGAAAAAATTAGAAAAAACTGCATGATTTTTTTCTAGTGAAAGGAATTAGAAAAATAGCCCTCTTATAATAATTATACATTTTTCGAGTAAAACTCAAATTTTCTAATATAAATATTTAATTAAAAATATTAAAATTACATAAAGTCAAATAATTTACTTCGGACACACGAGCGAATGCATTCCATTTTTGAAACAAATTTATTCTGGTTTCCACCACATCCACCATAGGCAAATGGTTTACAGGATTTTGATTTTCTATCAAAAAAATATCTTTGAAGATTTCCAGTACACGTGCCTTTAATTTGCGGTAAGGAGCAAATATCTTATATCATGAATAGTTGATTATTTAATGTAAAGTATATAAAGGGAAAGAGAAAAGTATTCCGTATCGTATCAAAAAATTATTCTTAAGGACGTGGCCAAATATAAGTTGCCATAGCTTATAGAAAAAATATAAATTGTTTTAAAATAAAATAACTTTCCACATATCTCTCCCTATTTAAAAAAGGGAAAAAAATTAAAAATTTTATATTAAAGATTAATTTCAAAAAATTGTGGCGGGGGTGGTACAAGCCCCCATTCTCTGTTAAA